TTAAGTTTAAATTAATATTTTTTTGATTCAATTTAATTTAATGTCTATGCTTTTATATTTTATTATAAATTTTATTTTAATATAAATTTAGAAGTTATTATTTATTTTTTGATATTTATTATTATAATTTTTTATTTCTAATCTATGAATTTATTTATTTTAAATTCCATAAATTGATTTATAAACTATCTTAATTTTTTTTTATTTAAAGTTAATAGAATTGATTTTTTGATGTATGAACCTATTATTATTAAATTAATTAAAATAATAATATTATAAAATAAATAAATTTATATATCATATAAGAGGTTTGCTAGAAGCATTTTTTATTAAAATTTTATTTCTCAGAACTCCATTTTCCTAGCAAATCTCCTATATAATAAATATTATAATAGAATGTTTCAATTCTCAGCATTAATATTTTATGTAAAATTCAGTTGTTATGAGTTAGACTGTAATCAAGTCAGGTTGATATCGTTTAAAAGACTAAAAAAATTATAAATAAAGATATAACTTAAAAAAAAATAAAATATAAAAAATGTGGCATAACCTTGTATAACTTAACTGTTTTACTAAAATCTCTGATTTAGCAACTTTAATGCTGCTATCATGTGATCATCATATAACTAAATGGTCACGTGCTAATGGTATTTTTTTTGTTTTAACTGTCTAATTTCTATCTTATTGCTTCATGTTGATTATGTAAATATGATAAGAAATTTTATTTATTTTAACAATCATGATTTTTAAAAATTTGAATGTATTTTTTTTGTTAATTTGACAGTAAATAAAGTATTTCGTTAATTTTGTGATTATATAATATATAAAAAAAATAAAGTTTCATATTTAAAATTACCTAAATTGATAAATAATATATTTTGATTTGAGCAGTATTGGTATATCAGTTCTCTTGGTAATCTGATATTTAAAATATAATCGTTCATTAATATGTATTATATAAATAGTCACAAAAATTTTACTTAGCAAATATTCAACATACTGGAAAAATGTAATATCAGATTTCATCGTGTATATAGTCATTTAAAAATTGACTTAAAGAAATATCTCGCATAAAATACATGGTTGTAAAAGAATGAATAGATGTAATTTTAACAATTATTTATTGGTGATAATATATAAAATAAGATAATAATTTGCAAAGTTTGCAAAAAATAAATGTTTTCGCAAAGAACAAATAAAATAAAAAAATATAAAATTAAATGCTCTTTGTATTATAACTAGCGATCTATTGCTCATTATCATCTAACGAAAGCCTTGAGGTAATGTTTTTGCCAGATTTATTTAGTATTTTATAATAATACTATCAAGTTCCTTGATAGCCTTTACATTGTATTTAGTATAATGCACTATAAATGCCTCTCTAGCAAATAATATGAGGCGTTCTATAGTATCGCATTTTTAACTGTCTTTCTTTTAACTCATTAACATTTATAGCAATTTTTTTATTAAATTTACTATGGAAGTCTGTTAAAACTTATTTAGAGTGACAAATGACCTCTTCTGCATTGTTACTACAGAGATTATAATTAAATATCTTTTTTACAAGATTTTTAATAGCTTCATTCGGTGACACTCTACACCTAAGAAAAAGACACTTTATTTCTTCATGCCAAAGTCGAGTAAGTGCTTTTTCTTCTTGTAATAGTGCAGATTTCATGTTTGTGAGATCGTGGTGGTCATATTTATGACAGAAGACGAATCTAACGATGTATTTAAAGCATGATACATCTGATTTGCCATTGTTAATATATCTGGCCTTTTTATTATTAGCCACTGGCAAATTTTGAAAGCATTTATCATTTTTCTAAATGTTTCAGGTTTCCCTAAAATCAATCAAATATTTTAATAAGTGACTTGAAGGACTTAAAGTCAATAATAATAATAATTACCTATTTTACTACTCAAACGTTCAGCAACTTGCTTATCATTATCAAAGTCTTCATAAATAGCATAATTTTTTCGTTTATTATTAGCTTTTATTATTTTGTTCTTTCATCATGATAATTATCTAATTATTTCAAAGATTTTTACATAAATATAAAGCATAATACACAAAGTATGTATCCTTTATGTATTTACTAGTTTCTTTTTCACTGTCTGTTAATTGTAACAGTTCTGTGATACAGGTTCCTTCAGTAGGCAGACTACATTTTATGGATGCATATGATAACATACTGCCTGCAGCATTAAAATGTTCAGAGTTTTCAAATCTTAATTTGTTAATAAATTCTTATAAAATCATAGAATATTAATAAAAAATAAATGATAAAGAAATTAGTTTCAAATAAAAAAAGCATGTTAAACCTTTGCATTTTAATTATATTTCTTACTTGCAGAAACCATCGACATATCATCTTCATTCTCGTCATTATTATCATAATTGTTATCATCGTCATAATTTTTTGGTGTACAGTCAAAGCTCGTTATAGTGAATCTCGTTATAGTAAAATCACGTTATAGTGAATTATTTTTAATTCACCAAATCAATTTTTTATAATAAATTTCTCTCGATATAGTGAACTCTTAATAAAATCTCATTATAGTGAACAAAAATGATTAGAACCAAGAGTTCACTATAAAGAGCTTTGACTGTAGTAGGTCACATCAGCTTCATAGGAGTCATCAGAATTGGAATAGTTGAAATTGCTCTAATCACTTGCTTTCTTTTTTCATAGCATTTATTAGAGGAAGTGACGATAGTAGACGTTTCCATAATTATTTTTTCTTTTCCACTACTTTCTGCTTCATTAGTTTCATGTGAATCGATTTGGGAAGTCATAGGCGTAGTAATAGGCTTCATAACAGTCTTTCCACTACCTTAACTAACAATTGTTCATTCCTTTTGAGACGATTTCTATCATCTCTTTGAGGACGAATGTATCATTCCTTTTGAGATGATTTCTATCATCTTTTTGAGGATGATTGTTTGTTCCTTTTGAGATGATTACTATCGTCTTTTTTGGAAATAAATGTATCATTCCTTTTGAGACGATTTCTATGTCTCGTTGGGGATGATTGTTCGTTCCTTTTGAGATGATTTCTATTATCTCTTTTGGGAATGAATGTATCATTACTTTTGAGATGATTTCTATTGTCTCTTTGGGAACGATTGTTCATTCCTTTAGGGATAATTTCTATTGTTCTTTGAAGACAATATTTCATTCATTTTGAGATGATTTTTATCATTTCTTTTAGAATGAATGTATCGTTCCTTTTGAAACGATTTCTATATCTTTTTGGGACAATTACTTTTAGATTGTTTTTATAATTTTTACAAAAATCGGCTCAACAGATTTCGATCAGTGAGATATAGTCGATTTTTTGCCAAATCTTGGGTATAACTGAAATTTTGCTGAATATTATAACCGAAAGGTCTTAATGCTAAAATAATGCTAAATTATGTGTGATGTAACAAATTACTATCGATTTTTGTAACTTAAACTGATTTTTTTCTGAATCATATGATCGAATCGGCTGAATGTTTACCAAAAGGTATTAGTGCTGAAAGAAATGATTTCGACTAGTATATAAATGCATGTATCTTAAAGGATAGTTAAAATCAGGTTTATTTTAAAATGAGAGAATAAAATTCATTTTTAAAAATAATATTTTAGAGTAATTTATTTTTTTATATAAAGAATTATTATATATTCATTTTAGTTTATGCTTTATATTTATTTTTATTATTTTTAAGATTGTTTAAATTTTTTTAATTATTTTTTTTGCAAATAAATTAAATTTGATTCATTATATAACTTAAATAAATATAAATTTTATATCCTGCTCCATTTATAAGTCAATTTATATTTAATAAATACTTCAAAAGCATTTTTCTTCAAAGATAATAATCTGGAAGTATATTCTTTAAAGATATATCACAGAAGTGATTATTTTTGAAGTATATTATTTTAAAAATGCTCTAGAAGTGTGTTCTTTTAAAGATACATTACAGTAGAAACGTTTTATTTCAAAAATAATACTCCAAAAGTGAAATTCTTAAAAGAACTCATTACAGAAGTAAAATTCTTAAAAGTATTCACTATGAAAGTGAATTTCTTAATAGAACTCATTCTGAAAGCAAAACTCTTAAAAGAATTCATTACAAAAGCAAAAGCAAATTTCTTAATAGAAATTACTCTAGAAGTAAAACTCTTAAAAGAAATTACTACAAAATCAAATTTCTTAATAAAAATCACTTTGAAAATAAAACTCTTAAAAGAAATTACTCCAGAAATATATTTTTTAAAGAAAAATATTCTGAAAGTGATTTTATTTATAAGAAACATTTCAGAAGCATTTTTTTTTCAAAAGAATCATTCAAAGACATTTTTATTGAAGGAAGTTATTTTAAAGATGATTGATTCTCTTAAAGAAAATAATTTTTCAGAATTTTTCAATCATTTCAAATTTTTTTTTCAGATTTTATTAATAATGTAAACCTTATGAGTCAGCTTATATAGCTCACAAGCTAGCTCAGCTTATCACATTTTATACTTGAGCCAAGCTGACTCGTAAGCAGTGATGTACATTTTTGATGTTCTAAACATTTTGAGACTATCCCACACTATGTCCCAAAATGTCTCACATTAAGTCCCAATGTCCTAGGTCATGTTTCAAAAATATCTTATGACAACACTGCTCATAAGCCAAAATAAATTAGCTTAGCTCGAGCTAATGATTAAACTGGCTTAAGCCAGCTCATACAGAGCTTTAATTTTACTAATGCATTATTACATTCTTGTTTTTCTTTAGCTTGCCATAGATCAATATGAGAAAAAGAAAGTTTAGTTTGATTAGTTATAACTTATGGAATTTTAATATTATTTTTTTTTCCATATGATATTTAAGAATTGATATTCCTATATCTGCACTAAACTTTTCATTACATTTTATACAAACAGGTGATCTCAAATATTCTAATGTTCTTTTATTAAAAAACTACTATACTTTAGATATTCTTTTAGTTCGTGAAAATAAAGTTATAAACACATCTTTCTCTTCATTTTCCCTTTATTTTCCTTTTCAAACAATCCGTTTGGGTTAAGGTTTTCATTCTTATCACTATCATGATATTCAAAATCTGTTTCATTATCATGATATTCAAAATCTTTTTCATTATTAGAATCTGAAAAGTAAGAATCATCAGAATCATTAATTTTAGTGTTCATTTTAGATAAAAGTTTATATAAAAGATAAACACGTAAAATTTTATGTTATATTATATATGATT